GAGGAAATGTATGCAAGTACAATTAGTAAGAGGTTTAAAAAGTTTAAGATTGAGTATGTTGAAAGGGAGAATATGTTTCCTGGCTACTTTCTCTGTACCTCTGTTTTCAGTACCCACAGAGCCTGTTTCATGGTTTCTGTATTCAACAGGGTCTTGTTCTGTGAACTGAATTTAACAGGAGTGTTTTCAGGGATCTGCTTTTCATCTTCAAATAACGGCAGTTGTATTACCTGTTGTCCTATTTTCCCCTGAAGTTGGCCTAGTGAAACAATGTGATCACTTGAAGTATGGTTCTTCTTGTCCCTAAGTTATATAGTATCAGTAACAGCTTTTGAATATAGTTCTGCCCTTCTCCATCTTCTGTCACTTGTCTTTGTCCTCTAGTGAACTATGTACATCACATTTTGCAGCTGCTCTTCTACAGCCGACTTATAGGATGGTATGTTGATGGATTCTTTTGTATGCTGTATTTCAGGATATTGATGTCCTCTTTGTTTTAAACAAGCCAGAAAGAAACAGCAAGAGGAAACTAGAAAAAGAAGCTGTTCTTACTATTGATTTTCTTATGGCTTTCAGTGGTTCGTTAATTCCCCTAACAATTTCTTCCTAGGTAGCTGGCTTGATGTGACAATCAGTAGCCAGCAGAAGAGGGGCTGTCATGGCTGGGTGAAGCCATAGCTGATAATCTCAGTTTTGCCTTATGAATTCTTCTATCTATGGTTCATTTATTTAGTGTAGAAGCAAAATAGAGCTCTCTATAAATAGATTCTACTATTCCACCATAATTTTGAATGCAACATTCTCATTCTTTCAAATTTGTGTAGATGCCAGAAGAACATCAGCCAGCTGGTTCACAAGACAGGCAAGAAGAGCTGGTCAAGTACTGCTGAAAAATTAGCTGTATGCAAGAACTGTTCATATGGGAACAGTATTTTTTAGAAATGTATACATTATTTTTTTCTCACTACTATTAACTGAAATTCCTTTTATGTCCCTAAAAGCTGCATTAAAATTCAAACTATACAGTACTGTATACCACTTGTTCAAAGCGCAGGATGCACTGAGGATCATACTAATTTTAAAACCGGTATAGCTATCTTGTTTTACAGTAAACAAGAAAAAGGGTGCCTGTTTGAAGTCAATAAGGCAAATAACTCTTGTATGAAAATTCAGTAAGGCACTACCAAAAAGAGAACTGCAACGCTAAAGCTATTTCTGGCACTGTTTCTCTCGCTTATGGGTCCCTTTTGTTCCTATCATTTCTGAGAAAGATAGCTGCAGAGTAATAAATGTGCCAGAAAAAAAAGTTGACTTTATTCTAGAGGTTGTTACGTCATGTAAAATCTCTACATAACATTTCTGTGCAGTCTGTTATGTTATTTCACAATATAGTTTGAACTTTGTGAATTTGCATTGAGAATCAAAGAACTTCTGGAATACCATGTCATTTCTACGACATTTCTATGACATTTTTTAAGTCTGTTTAGAACCATTAGAGAAGATTGTGGCTCACAAAGGGAAAAATGACTTGTGGACTGCCTGTAAGCCATATTTCTTTTGTTATCTTTTAATAGAATGATATAATCATCTAGGTTGGAAAAGACCTTCAAGAAAACGTCCAATCATCAACCTATCTTTCTGAATCCTGTCACTGAATCAAGGCCTTTACTGTCACATCCACTCTTTTTTTATCAGACAAACCTTGCAGTCTGTTTGTCTTCCTGTTAAGAGGGTAAAATATATAATTAATGATTCTAATGGCAATCTTATTTTTTCTTTAAATTTAGATCAAACTTGTTTATGTATCTGCCATCTTAAAACAGTCTGTTGCACATGGTCTCACTTGATTTGTTGTGACTTCTAAAGGTTTCCAGAATGTCCTGGTGTTTAAAAAAAACAAACAAACACAAAAACAAACAAACAAACAAACAAAAACTATTGAAATTAATTTTCTCAATGGGGAATGTCTCACTTCATGGACAATTGAAAGAAACACTGTCAGTTGCTGAAGCCTGTTAAGATTTTGTTTTCTCCTCTTGTTTCTCAGGGTTAGTCAACACTGGTTTGCAACTTTAAAAACTAGTTTATCTCTTTTTTTTTTCTTTTCTTTTCTTTTTTTTTTTTTTAAATAAAATCTTTCTATTTGCTCCCATTTCTGCCTGAGAATATCTTGTCAAGACTCCTGTCTAGTTGTCCATTTGCTTTACATTGTTTAGTATGTAAACTAAGGCTTGGTAGAGTGCAAGGAGGTTGTTGATAACATGTAATCATTCCTCAAATAGCTTAAGAGTGTGCAGTCACAAATAGCTTTGTGTAAGTTGTTCCCCAGCCAGTAGAGTTAATTGCCAAAGTGTAATTTTTCAGCATCTGCTGTGGGCTATTTTGCTTGCCCACTTGGAACAGATGTAACCACTGAGAAATTTTCTCCATCTGGTGGCAGAAATTGTGAAATTCTTGTAATCAGGAGGTCTAAAATAGGTTGAGGCTCCCTCTGTGGAGGACAGTGCTTGAGTTTTTCACAGCTAGAAGCCACCCTTTGTATATCACTTAAAAGCGCAGAACAGGTATGAGATCTGATGTGCAAGCAGTGAAGTCTTCCTAAAGAAATTTCAACTTTTGCATTTTAGAGTTAAGGTCTTGTGGATATGGAATAGAATTTATAGAATTGGTTGCTTTCATGTGTAACTTTTCCTTGTACAAATAAATAAAAATATGGCAGCCCTTCTTTTAAGGCCCACTATTTTGTAAAGCTCAGTAAATGAGTAAGTAAGCAAAAACTGAAGAAAAAGCAGAAGTTGCATACTTAAAAAAAAAAAAAATTAGACATTTATAATGCTTAAGATACTAGTACATACTGTTCTTTTGCTTTTTTATAATGTAAAATTTTTACATCTATCACAGAAATGTCATAACTTTGTTGTGTTCAAAGAATGCTTTCACTGGTGGCAGATACAGAACTGTGATTGGTATGTATTGTTTGAGTTCAAGAAGAGACTTTCAGTTTAAGCAGAAAATGATTGTGCTATGGCACAATCTGCTTCTAAGCTGGACGTGAACAAAGTTCTATGTTGTTGTAAGAATGCAGAGAAGTGCTTATTCATTAGAATTTTTCTTCTCTCTTTCATCCATTTTTTTTTTTTTTTTTTTTTAAATTTTAAAGAGAAATATATTTGTTCACACTGGCAGATTAGGAAGGGAGGCATTCTAATAAGTATTACATTGATATGAAGAGTGCTACGCACCATTTTCTGGACGTTCTGTGTGATAGGCTAGTTGTTATAGTGATGGCAAATGCCAGTTGCCTTTACACATGAACGTCTGTAATATTTCTCTTGAAGTATTAAAGTGACATGTTCAGTATGTCTTTCGCTTTTGCTTAATTTTTTTTTTTTTTTAACTTGGGATACAACTGTTCCCGCTTACATTTGCATTTGTCTTCCTACCCCAAGTAAAGCTTGTTGTTAAGGTTGGCTTATCAGAAGCTACATGTCTGAGGATGCTGTCTTCAGTTCATGCAGTACAGTCTGTTCACCGATTTCAGCAAATTCTCTCTCTTGACCTGCTTCAACATTGAGGTGCTGACTGTATGTGTTTGGAATACTATTCTTTATTTGCAGCATGCTGAACTGAATCCAAGCAGTGAGAAACTGTAGTGATTATTATTGACCTTCAACAGATTAATGACATTGACTAGCTTTTTCTTTTTCTCCTCTTCTCTCCTTTCATCTCTTCTCCTCCCTTTCCCCTCCCCTCATCAAGAAATGGAATGTTTTGTGCTTTCTGTGTGGTAAATTTCTGTAATTACATGTCGCTGCTTTTTTTTCTTGGCATTTGAAGAAATTTAAAAACTTCTTTCTCCTGCAAAGATATCAAGAATGGAAACAAACATTTCCATTTTGCATACTGGTACACAGATCTGGGCTGCATGTGAATTTGAATGAAGTTTATTTTCTTCTCTAGCATGATTAGAAAACATAGTTATTTCTTTAATTACATTGTTTCATTTCTTTATAATTTCTTAGACTTTTTATCAGGTTCACATTCTTTCTGACTAAATTCTTGGTGCCAGATAGTTGTCAGTGCCAGTGGGAATGTTATAGAGGATAAAAAGACAGTAGGAAATGGCTCAAACCTTGAAAGTCAGGTCTGTTTGGGATCATTTGGAGTGAGGTGCTAGCTGATTAACCTCCAAAAGCTGGGAGCTTTTGCAGTCAACCATGGTGTTGTCTTCAATTGCTTATTTCAAGATTACTTTATAATTTTTCTCCTTCAGTTTGTTCATGGATCTCAGAACTTAATTTTCCAGTTAAGTGCAAAAGTAGCTGAGGTGGTCTGCATACTGACAGCCATGCTAACTGAAACAGAGACAGAGATGAGTGGAATTGCTGAGAAACATCTTCAGTGATAATTGTTACTCTCGTGACATTGTAGTTGACAGCTCTCGTTGTCTACTATCAAATTGTTTTGTATTTTATGATACCTGCCAGGCCGGTCTAAACTAGTGAACTGGTTATATATAGCCCTATTGAAGATGTATCAGATATGATGAAGTGTTTTACCTACTGAGTGTTTGCCTGGCCATTATCCAGGGAGTTAAACAAAATACATTACATGAATGACATAGCTTTTTAACACACAGGAAATAAGGTCTCATTTCATGAGCTGTGTTAAACCAGTTGTATAAAATGTCCATTAAAAGTGCATGCAATAAAAAGAGAGATCAGATATTGTCAAAAGTTCAGAAATGGGTTCAAAATTACTTAGCATATGCAGCAATGTATAAAGCAGATAGTTAATACACGCAGCAAAGTAAGTAAAGAGAAATGGTCTAAAGTGTTTTCTTTGCTTTCCTTTATCTACTGATCTTATCTCTCTGCATGATTTTCATTTGTCATTCCATCTGCATTTCTTCTCAACATTTGATTTCTTTATCATAACACGGCTGTTTTAGTTCAGTTGCTTAAGGCTTCCCATTGTATGTCTGTCTGTTTTTTTTTCAGGAAGCCATTGTATGGATTATTTCAATACAATTCCGGTATGATCGGACTAGAATTATTAGCTGATCCCACAGACACCTGGGAAATTATAGAGACTATTGGAAAAGGCACTTATGGTAAAGTCTATAAGGTTGCCAATAAGAAAGATGGGAGTCTGGCAGCAGTAAAGATTCTCGATCCTATTAGTGTAAGTGAAAGTATTAAACTGCATTGCTAATTTAAAAGAATTTTTAAACAGATTTAAAATGTAAGTTAAACATAAGATATTGAATGCATCCTGAGGAAATGTTTTTTGCACAGTGCATTGGCAGAAGGAAACCTGAAAGGTGCTGCTGAAAATTTCATCATCTTGCATGCTGTTTGAAAATAGCATTTACTAAGTTTCATTTTTATATCTATATAAGTCGTCCTGTACAAATTCAGACACCTGTGCTTTGAGCATGCATATGATAGGAAAGCACAAAGGCATTCCTCTTAGGGGTCTGTTTTAGGAAGGTAGACAAAAGATACTGTTAATCTTAAATGTTCTTATTCTACGTTCCCTAAAAGGATTGCTTTTTCCATTGCAGAAATACTGTGAACTTGATTATATTTTACAACTGTCTTCTGTAAGTGTCTAACAATGATAAGCAATAATTAAAGAAAAGGCAATAATTAAAGCCCAGGCAAAATTCTTGGAAGTGGTTCTCTGCTAGCTCCAGTTTTAGTGGGATTTAAGTCCCTGACCTCCCTTGAGAGCCAAGGCCCTTGCTCTCAGTGGAAGAGTTAGCTGACCACTGTGCAGGTTGGATCAAGCTGGAGTTTGATTGTAACAGTTGAGTGAGTATATTTACTATGAAAGGTTGCATTTCTATCATCTACAACTTTTGAAGCCTGTCTTGCTTTTCCTCTTGTGCAATTCTGGGAAAAGTAGTAAATCAGACAATAGCCTCAAGATAGATAAAAACAAACAAGCCAGAACAACCCTCCACGTGAATGTTTAATATTTTTAGTAGTTACAGTCTCTGCAGAAGCAAGGAAATTTACTGCTTAGATATTTTTCTGAATTTTGGCCTACGAGCTGATATTCAAATTTTTTTTAATTGTCACAGAACTGTTATATTAACAAATGCTTAGTAACATTTGCTTATTTAATGAATGTTGATATTTCTCTTTTCAATAATTTCTAGTATAGTCTCTCTTAATGTTTTTATTTTTACAACATTCCACTTGGAGGTTTTGTGAAATTATTTGATCCCATCTGTTGTCCTGTTTGGACCACAAAAAGGAAAAGAAAAAATAGTGAAGAGTACTTTCAGCAGCACTGGAAGAAAACCATTTAAAAAAAAACCAAAACATTGGTTTAAAAAACCATTTGAAAGTACAAACTCCTTAAAAATAGCTTTTTTTATCCAGGAGTTTATTCTTGCTTTACACAGGCTTACTGTGTTTATATGTTCTGTATGTTTGTATTTAGGATGTAGATGAAGAAATTGAAGCAGAATATAATATTTTGCAGTTCCTTCCCAATCATCCTAATGTTGTTAGATTTTATGGGATGTTCTACAAAGCAGATCAATATGTGGGAGGACAGCTCTGGCTAGTACTTGAGGTAAAAAACATCTTGATAATATTACATCTTAACTAGTGAATGTGGTGGGTCTCTGTTTTCTATTGCTAGGAGAGTCACCAGCTTTCATGATTTTCTGATAGGGGCCATTTATCAAAAGACTGGTGATAGATGATATGTCATGTACTGTTGAAAATCTCACAAAAATTTGTTAAAAAGGGAAAGTCCTTACATTTTATTTCTATTCAAGTTGCCACATTTTGCCTCAAAAACCACTGTATCTTGTTGGTAAAAATGTTTTGCTTAAAAACGGCTTGATTTTTCTTGTTGGAGAAAATAACGTTCAAATTTTTTGAGAGGTCAAGCACTCAAGGGAAGTGTAAAACATAATGTAGAAGTAACGTGGTAAAAAATTAAGAAACATGTTGCCTGTTGCAAAATGAACAGAGAAAATGTAATATAAAACTAAAAGTTAGTTGTTCTAGAAAGTAGCAACAGAAATGCCTACTATTCTTCAGTGGCAATTGGTATTCTTGCAGTGAAAAATGTAAAATGACACATGGTAGTCTTGTTGCCAGCTAACTGATTGCAAAAGATTTTTTGCAAGATGAGTGAGGATTTCTAAACAATTTCCAGGCTTAATAGATGCAGAGCTTTACACAGGCTGATGTTCAGTATAATGACATTCATTTTGCTGTGTTATAAGTAGGCTGAGAAGGTTAGCATTTGCTTTTTAATTACAGTTCATTTGAGAAATTTTATTCCCTATTCTTGAATGATGACTTGAATCAGAATGGAAAATCTTTACTTCCCCTTTAAGTCATAGAATCTCAACAACGCGTTTAACTTCTGTTTATGGTAGAATTAGGTAGCTTGAATGAATGTTCTTTGACATTTCATATTAAATTCCATTAACTATTGATAAAGCAAAGATTTAGCATCGTTGTTTTGCTGTTGCTTTTTACTGTATGCCTACTGGCTTTGTATTGAATTTGAATTTGAGCTTGGATTTCCATGTGGTTTTTTTTTGTTGTTTTTTTTTTTGTTGTTTTTTTCAAATGTAGCACATCAGACAGGTTATGTGTGGTATTGCATATAACAAAATTTTATATGGTAAAATTGTGAAATACTCTATATAACAAAATTGAATATAGAATTTGGAAGAGCTAGGTCTATGTAGACCTTACTGACTAAGTAAGCTCTTGTCAGTTGCTTTTGGTGCACATTTTCCAGACTTTAAAGACTTTTGATGTTTAAAAAAATTACATTTTCCTTACATGGATAAATTTATGGATAATAGAAAAGTAAAAATCTGGTTGTTCCCTGAACTTGTGTTGTCATACAGTTTTATGCAGTAGTTATTCACAGCCTAAAAAAGCGTGTTGAGTAACTGACGGCATGTCTTGCTTTTTCCCCCCTTTGTGTCTTCCCACTTCACAGCTGTGCAATGGAGGGTCTGTCACAGAACTTGTCAAAGGTTTGCTGAATTGTGGCCAACAATTGGATGAAGCTATGATCTCATACATCTTATATGGTGCTCTCTTGGTAAGGTTGTTCACTGGGCTTGTAATGACAGCAGAGGGTGCAGTTTGTTCATCTCATGCATATATTTTCCATTTATAAAGAATGATAATGTTGGCAATATTTTCTGGGCTATTACTGCAGCAGGAGTTGTATCAAGCATGTAATCTGGTGGACAGATGTTTCTATAGACTATGTGCAGATTGTCTTCATTACATTCCCTAATAGTAGGGTGGTAATTGTTTTTAAATAAGGGAGTAAACTTATTTTTGTTACTGCTGGCATATAGGGCCTTCAGCATTTACACAATAACCGGATCATTCATCGAGATGTCAAAGGGAACAACATTCTTCTGACAACAGAAGGTGGAGTCAAGCTCGTTGACTTTGGTAATGACCACTTCCCATTTGTTTTTCTAATACATGCAGTCTAGCCAAAGGCATCTGTTTACTTTCCACTGGGAAGGCAGAATGCTATAGTGAGAGATTTTCGGGACAATTATCAAGATTATTTTAGGGAGGAAAAATGGGGAAGTAACTTGATACACCAAGAATGAAAATGGTATCCAAAAAATCAGTAATACGTTTTTAACTTAAAAGAGCAATCGTAATAATTTATTTTTTAAAGTATTTTTGAAAGTGTCATTTACAAATCTTTTTTTTTGCATTTTGCAAAAAATGTCAGTTTCACAGTAATTGTCCTAATTTAAATTTAAATTCTGTGTCTTTTGCATATGAAAAGAAAACATCCTTCTCTTTGAAATGACATTTGCTAGCCTCTAGCATTTTGCTCCCTCTGAGCAGAAGGTAAAATGGTCCCATGTGTCCAAAACCCAATATCCATTTAATATGTTATTATTGCTGTTGTATACGAACATGGCCAGTCTGGAAATATTGTAAGAAATAGATGGGTAGGGAGAGGAAAAGAGAAAGGGCCTTGTCAATAAAATTTAATTCAGTTCAGCATTTTTCTTCTTATACATATCCACTCAGAAAAATAACACAGTGCTGTATGTAGTCTGACAGATATGTATACAATGGAAACGAATTATTAGTAATATGTGATTCATTAGTTAATCATAAAATGCATAAGGTAATCACCATTGAGAATAGTATTGCTTGGATAACAGATGTATGTCTAGTAGTGCATGAAGATAAAGAAAAATGTTCACAAACTGAGAGTAGCATACGATGATATGCCAAAAATCCTGCAAATAGTGATGATTAAAAAAATGAAATTCATATACTGGAAAATAAATGTAATACCATGACATCATCAGCATTACAAATTTGACATTAAAAATGATTGTGTTGGAGATTATAAAATAAGCTGGAACCAAGAAAGTAACAAACTTCTCAGTACCTTCTAGGGACAGAAATTCATTATGTTGAACAGTAGAGGTAATAATTAAAATAGTGCTGGGAGAAACATGGCCTGAAGCAAAATTTGCAGCAAGTCCTTGAGCTAGTATGAGGGAGACAAGTAATTTCTCTATGAGTGTGGTCGTTGTTTGCAACTGCGCCCTTCTGGGAAATATTGGCTTCTTTCTCTGACAACTCTTATCATACATGTCAATGGCATTAGCTGCTGCTGAAGATCAGCTTGGAGCTCCTGAGTCCAGAGGCTTATCTGTGGTATACAAATCTAAGTGGCATGTTCAGGAAAACTGAGAATCCCAAGATTTCTGGCATCTCTTTCCATGTTGCTGGGGCTTTTTTATTTCTTCACATTTAAGATTCACCAATAATCGTAGCAAATTATAACAGATGTACCTCAGAAAAAGACATGAGCAAACGCTCACGTGTTTCCTAGTATTTAACCACTAGGAAATATCGAAATGTGCTTTCTGTCTGACAAAGTATTATGCACTAAGGTTTCATTGAATTGCTCTTTCTCTCACTAGCCCACTGCTTTAGTCATAGAAAGGACTTAGGATCAAATTAAGACTGAGTTGCAGCTGCAACTGTTGTCTGTAGAATTGTCCCATTTGTTGTAGGAGGTGAAAGATGTTTAGTGAAAAATGCAGAGTTCAGGAAGAGATTTGCTATTTTAGAGTTTTGCTATTCAGACAGCTGAAGGACATCAAACTGGAGCCTGTTCTTGCTTCTGCTAGGGTTTCTCTTTGTTGGCACTTGCATCAAGCTTTTTAGAAATGGCCATTCTGTGTTCCTCATTTTCCTTGTATCCAGTCTGAAACATTTTGTACTACCTTGTAGAAGAGCTCAGTTTGAGCTGCAGCTGAGAACGTTACAGCTCTACTTTAGTCAGATGGAGTGCCTGAAAACTGAAAGATCTCAGATTAAGAGCACAAAAACAGTGGATGCATTTGATATTTTTAGGCTAATCCCTGGAACTAATAATCCTCTCCCATTTTGAAGGAATGTTAAGGAGATTTGTTGTGTGATAAGGAGTGAAGAAAATAGGAAAGGAAATAATAATCCAAGATTTAGTATTGAATTGTGCATACAAAATGAGGCTCTAGAATCCAAATCAATGGAGATAAAAGGAAATACTCAGAGATTACCTTGTTGGCAAGTTCTGTCCATTATATAGGGGGAAGAGAAAGTGAATTCATACTCAAGGCAGTATGTATGAATATTAGCACACTGAGAGGATTGCACAGGGTTATTTGTTTGCTTTTATTGCGTGACTTTTCAACTTCTTTTTTCTTTCAACTTCACTCAACAGCATGACATGCTTGAACTCATCATTCACTCATGTTCTTTCTCTCTTTTTCACCATCTTCCCTCTTTCCCCCTTTCTCCCTGTCTCAGCTTTTTGATGTTCCATGCTGTTTTGGAATGTCCATAGATGGCAGCTACAAGTTAGGCCAGCTTAAGAGAAAACAGTTAAATGCACAGAGGCTTGTAGACTCCAGTCATTGGCTGTTTTGCAGTGTTACCCACCAAATCAAGATTTGTGATCACACTGAAATGAAAAATAAGTACAGAATTGAATCTTTGGTACAGCAATCTAATTGCTTAATTTACAAATGACTGATTTTGAGTCTGAATTTCTTACTCACTGAAATTGGGCACAAATCTATCATGTCATGGTGTGTTTCTACCTGTTTTTCTTTGTGGGTGGTACTGTGGGAGTAGATCATGTTTTCTTTTGTTTTCTTTTTTCCCAACAATGATAGCATGAAATATTTTTGTTAATATTGCATTTGTTCAGCTTATTTGAATGCTCCTGAGTTCTACAGGAGCACAGTTGACAAGAGCACAGAAAATGATTTGAAACTTCATTTTGATTTGTTAATATTGTTTCATTTTGTTCTAGTTCCTTCCTTTTTTCTGCTGTGCTTCACTAGCCTAGCCTCAGTCAGAAAACCAATGAAGCACAGGCTTTGTTTTAAGCAATTCCTTAATTCCTAAGTATAAGCTACAATGTGAACTTAAGCTTCCATGTTTTTCAAAGGAAAAGATTTGTTTTAAATAAGTGCATAAATGTTTTGTTGAGGAGGAATTTCTGCAAGGTTCCTGCCAGCAGCATTCAGGGAATAAATTTCAGGTAGGCTTGGACAACATTTCTGGAAAATAGGTTTTAAATTCAGATGGGAATTTGAAATGTTTCAGAATATACTCATGAAAAACAGCAGAAGGAGGTATCTGTGATATTAAGAGCTGATTAAATTTTTTAATTTGAATGAAAATGCTTCAGACTGAGATAATTCATAAAAAAATCTCATAGCAATCCAGAAAGAAAACAGCAAGCTGTGGTCTGTCTAGGATGAGCTGTGGAAAAATGAAATTAATCATGAGCTGTGATCTCAGTCTTAGAGGTTTGTTTCTTACATACTTCAAATAAACTGATTGACTTGATTTAATGAATTTGAAGCCAAATTTGTTTCTGTTTTGTTGCAGGTGTTTCAGCCCAGCTCACCAGCACACGGCTACGTAGAAACACCTCAGTGGGAACACCCTTTTGGATGGCTCCTGAGGTAGGTAAATGTTTTTTGAATCCTATATTGTCTCCCTTCACTGTAATGCGTGATCTGTTGGCACTTTAATCAAGAAATATCTTTTCAACTAAGGACCATATTTCTACTTTTCTCCACATCTATGACCTCTGTCAATGAATGTACTACTGCTAAAATATACAATACTTTGATCAAATACTTTGATCAGTATTAATATTCACTATTTTTGTCTCTGTAATGTTTCCATAAAAATACAGATGATCTCCAAGTAATTAAGGGTTGTTATATGGGAACTGCTGAGTCACGGCCTAAACCTCTGATTGATCACCTGAGGTGAGCCATGAGTCAGCCAGAGGAGCACAGGTGAAGGCAATTCAGCTGTGCTGCCGGAAGCTTGGCTCCACCTCTCCTAGACCTATTTAAGATCTGGCTATGAGAGGGGAAGGATCCTATCTGGAGATCCCCTCTTCTGGTGTTTTTTGTAGGTGAGCCTAGCATATGGGTAAGCCTTCCATTTATTCTCTCTTATTATCTTAGTCTACTTTGCTTAACTCTCTTGTTCTTTTTTTGTGATTATAACATCTTAATATCCATTGATTATACGTCTTAATATCCACTGAATATGCAGTTGTCTTGAAGATTTTATGACTTCCCAATCAGACACATTTAAGCACTATGTAATTCTATAGAAATGCTTTTTAGGTGAAAAGTACCAGTATGGAACACTTAAGGAATCCTTCATAAAATAGTTGAGTATACGCTATAGATATAGGTAGATAGGAATCAACAGCTGAGAGCTTGGGCTGGGGAAACTGAAATCTGCAATTCTACAGTCTCCTGAGATTTCACACGTATGGGGACCAATCCTCTCTTGGGCTAAAGTTTTTGAAGTTAATCTGGCCCTGCATGTTCTTACACAGTGTGAATATGATTCTGTGCATGTTTGTGATTTCTGCTACGTTATACGCAAATTTCTGGTCTGAGGAAACGCATGCAGTTTTTCTGCAGTTGGCTAGTTGATCTGTTTTGTTGATTCATTTGCTCTATTATGAAGATGGATTCACTAAATGTAGGAAAGGTTCTTTAAAAAAATGATAGTTAATACCCTATTTCTGTGTGCTAGCAAGAGACACAACTCATAATGCTCATCCTGATCTATTACTGGCTCAAACAGCACCAATATTTATAGTATAGGTAAATTTAACAAGGACTTCATGTCCACTCTATTGAAATAGGCTTGTCTATCTTTTGAGGATCTTAATGTACTTTCAAAAATTTACTTCTCCTTCTCTATTAGGATGTTATGTCAGACAGTCAGAATGTTGTGTAGACTGTGCTGCAAGGAAGTGTTTTTTTTGTGTGCGCTTGTCTGAGCACTTCAATACACGGTGGAAGAAGGAGGAGTTCCCACATTACTATCTAGATTTAAGACTGTGAAAACCTTGACTCAGCTGTGTGTCCTGTAACCTTAATTACAGACTATCTTGTCAAGTAGTTGGGCCAAAAAAAGTTGTAAAAAGGTGTTTTGAAAGCACTAATAAGCTATAGCATTGCGTAGCTCAAAATAATCTCAAACATGTTGATAACATAAGATCAGACACAGTATGAAGGTAAATACTGAAAAGAAGTGTTTACAGGAAAGAACAAAAGGGTTCATTTATAGTCTGTCTATTGTAATCCATGCTACTACTCACTTTTTAAAATACTATGGAAGTAGGTATATATGTCAATAAAGGGAAGGAGATGTCAGAGTGAAAAGAGCAGTTGATGCATATTCTAATGTATGGGGCTCAGCTAGTGTTGGGTCATGGTCTGAGCCACTGGTTGGTCACCTGAGGAAAGAACTGAGTCAACCTTGGGAGCACAGGTAAAAGAAATTCAGCTGTGTTACTGGAAGGGGTGAAGCCTCGCTCCCTCCCTGCTAGACCCAATTTAAGGGCTGACTGCCACTGGGGAAGGATGGAGTCTTTCCTGTGAATCTAGATCTTTGGATGTAAGAGAGCATTCTTTCCTTGTTTGCTTCCATTCCCATTTTCATCATTCTTTCCAGCTATAATACAAGCTGTAACATATAATAAAATGTGAGCAAATACTTAAAGATTTAAAATGCAACCAATGATAGATAATAATAATGAAAACATAAAACTCATTTGCTTTCCCAAGGTTTATGTCTAAAACAAACAAAAAACTAAACAGGCAACAATAGTTATAGCTGTTTAACTATGGGAGATGGTTCAAAAACTGTTTCTGAGTGGCAAAATCTGAAGTTCACAGAATTCTTTCATTGTCTGGGGATGTGCACACTTGGACTCATGGGCTGGCATAGGTTAAAAATACAGAAGAACAATCTGCAATGGTTCCAGATAATGTATTCTTTGTAAATTTAAGGTCAATTGGATGTTTAACTGAAGGTTTTAAGGTTTAAAAATATTAATTTTTGCCCTTCTTGCTGTAAGAAATAATGCATTTTTATAAGATTATGAAGTCAGAAATGGAGTGAAGAGGGAGTGAGTTGTTTCTTTGTAAGCTCTTAAACCTAAATAATAATAGTCTCATTTGCATTGGAGATGCAAATACCTTTAGATATATTTGAATTTGGAGGAATTTTGGGTGGAATTTGCATCTGTTACAAGTGTGTAAATTTGTTTCCACGTGCAAAACAATTTTAAGTGTTGTGCAAACATCTGTCCATTTTAAAATATACTATACTACTTATACATCCTGTGGTTTCCTAAGGATGGCTGATTACAGCTGAGCAGGGAAAAGAAGCTGCTGCAACAGATCCAAAATTGATCTTCCACACTCTCACAAAAAAAACGGTTGGTATTTTACCATCTCCATAACAACAAGTTACGTCACAAAAGAGACACAAGGTACCTTAGAAGCCACTGTGCAAGCATTATTTATGGAATCACCTTCATTGCAGATGTTCTGAAGCCTTTGTAAAACATTCTTTACAGAGTGACAGGAATATTATGAAATATTTTCTTGAACTCAGATTTTTAGAGGTGATTTTTACAGTGCTGTTTTGCTTGAGTAATTGCAATCAATGTCAGAAATCATACCAAATTTATAAACCATCCTGTCTGAAAATACTCATTCTCAAGGTAAAAACCCGAAGAAATAAACAGAGACTGAGACACATTTGTTCAAAAAATACAACAACGTAGATGTAACCAGTGTGCATTATGTGCATCATTGAAAAAGGATCAAGTCTAGCTTGACATACTTCCTATTTGGAAAAGATTTCTCAAAATAACTAACCCAGTATCATAAACATAGTCACTTATCTCAGATATGCCTGTGTGAAAAACACTGATGAAGCTTCATGATGTACCAGTCTGTAAAACAGCTGCAAGATGCTTATGTATCCATCCTGCTGTTGTTGAAATAGCTTTAAAACTTGCTGTTGTGTAACACATGCTTGAGTTGCTACAGTTGCTTTCTTTGTGTCTGTATGAATGACCTATTTCCCTTGACGTGTGAGATGCAATTTACATCTTGGGAAACCTTTCTGGTATTTTTAAAATATGCAGCCAAATTTTTATGTGAAATATGAATGCTTAGAACTGAAATAAACTGAAAAAGACTGCCTGAGTAGCAGCTTTTTAGAAACAGTGATTTCTACATGAAACTGTGCTGAGATTAGTAAAACTAGAAAAGCACCCAACAGTCTCAAAAATCTTGCTGCCAAAATTTTTGATACACGGTAAATTCTATGTCAAATCCAAATATTCCTTAAAGAACAGGAAGGGAACGTTATTATTCAGAGAAATAGAAAGGTTTTTTTTTTTTTTTTTTTTTTTTTTTTAAATTGGATTCTTACTATCTTCACGTGAAACATAAAAGCCCCAGATTGTATAAAGCTATCATGGAGCCCCGTTTCAGGTATACGTGAGAAAGATGGATGTAATCAGAAGGGGGAATAGGGATGGAAGATGAAGAAGCCTTCCTTAAAGGAATGGACTACAGGAGTGTTTTGGAGAAATGAATCATGTGAAGTAAAACTGACAATATTTTCCTTGGCAAAATGCAGGAAAGTATTCAGATACAAGTAAATAACAGGATATGGGCAGGACACAAATACACTGGAAACAAGAACCAGCAGTTAAGCCTGGATAAGGAACAGTCTGTATAATGAGGAAAAGCATCACACTGTAAGATGAGTAATACAGGGATTATATAAAAACGGTACTTAAAATAGCGAAAGATCACTGAAAAAATATCTGTGACTTGAGGGTGTCCTAAGGTATCTGGTTCAGCTCACTATTTTTGCTGGTCAGCACAAAAATCAGTAGCTTTACAGTTTTGAGACGACTGGGACATTGTTTTTTTTCTTGTTCTTTTCCTAATGATTGTGAAGTTTGAGTAACAGTACAGATCAAAAAGATTCATCCTTGAGCATTTGTTTTTGAGCAGAACACAGGATGAACCAAAAAGTTGCTGAAAATGAAAATGCAGAATCAAACCAGGCAGTGTGGAAGCATCTGAAGAACTTGGCAAGGGTAAAGAAGCTTTGAAATAGACTCCCTGAAAATCAGTCATTGCTGTTTAAACCTAATTAGGATTATCTCGCAGTTAGAAAAACAGCCATATAGATGCTGGAACACAGAAAACTGTCAAACCAAAAAAGATAAATAAGGTGGAACTGCTTAAGTACTGTGGTTGTTTAGGTTGTTTAAAGCTTCCTATTGCCAAAAATCCTGAAGTTATCTGAAGACTGTTTCTTTCATGCTGAGATGAATTGTGTTGAATGCAAGCGGAAACAGATTAGGAATCTTAGAACAGAACTGCCTTTACTTTCTCACCCCCTAACCATAATGTGTCTTGATTTCAGCCTCTATTGCAGAGCTGGCAAAACCTAGCTAGAACTGAATGGCAAGCTTTCTTTTTCCCAAGTAATTGAAATATCACAAAAGCGTGAACCTATGCCTGTACTCTGAGTTTTATTTACCAGTTCACGTTTTGTTCAATGAAGTTATCATGATCTAGTCAGCTAGATTCTTGCAATTAACCCTGAC